CATACTGATACTTTTTTAGTTTATCTCTGACACAACTTATTTACCTCTCCCGATATCAAGCTCCTCCACTGGAAACTAATTTATAGTTTACAAGTGTATTTCCTCCACTACTTGTAAATTTTTACTTAATTTTTAAAATTATCTAATTTGTGGATAATTGACAATTTCTGAATTTCAGATCAGGTGGTGGACTCACGTTTGTAAACTAGCCCCTTCCAATTAAGTCCATTGGAAGTCAGAGCAAGCTGTTTAATTCGTGGGTTAGCCAAGATAATTAAGGCATGACTTCCAAGTGAGAAAGTCTCCTCAATGCTGGCTACATAGTTTGGCTGAATTCGCCACCTACTGGGAAAAGCATGGCAATACAAGTAGAAATAGAGCATTAATAAAAGTCCAACAGTTAAATGTACTTAATACTACTAAATTGCATAACTATAAAATTTATCGTTTCAACCAGCTTTATTATAAGCATATTAACACAATTAAACTAATGAACAATACAGAACAGGGTAGTCAGTGCAGCATAAATTAAGACATTTTCATAAGTAATAACATTAATTTGTAGTATATCATATTATTATTATTAATGTAATAATATAGTGTTTCTGTGTGCCAAGTACTATTCTGAGCATTTTATGTGGTAGGAGGAACTCTTATAGAAAGCTGTAGGAAGATAAATAGACCTATTGCCAAATTTAATGCTCCTTCCCCAAAGGCAGGTGATCATTTCTGAGACACTAAGAAGCTATCCCTAAGTGTAAATGAACATGCTGATAAATTAGGGGTGGTGTAAATGTAGGCCAATGGTAAAACAAAACAAAACAAAATAATCACATAAACTAATCACTATCCAAATATATCCATGTGATTGTCTTATCATCTTTCAATTTACCACAAATAACACTGTTATCACCTTCCCTCTCCTCAGTGTCATTTCCTCTTATTAGCATGACCTGTTGTCTCATGCTGAGACATTTCAATGCTGTCTTTCTCCATAATGTAACTAACATATGATTCACCAATCCCACTTCTGAGTAAAGACCAAAGGAGACAAAACTCACTAAATCAAAAAATATTTGCATACCTGGGTTCTTCACAGCATTATTTATGATAGCCAAGATAGGGAAACAACTTAAGTATCCGTGATAGATGAATGGATAAAGAGAATGTGAACCCAACAAAAAATGGGCAAAAAATCTAAATAGACACTTCTCCAAAAAAGATATTTAGATGGACCAAAGGCACATGGATAAATGCTAATTACCATTTATTATAAGGAAAACACAAATCAAAACAACACAATGATATCACCTCCCTCCTGTGAGAATAGCCTGTATCAAAAAGGGTAGAGAAGACAAATGTTTGTAAGGATATGGACAAAATAAAACACACATCAACTGTTGGTGGGAAATTTGGTGCACCTCTGTAGGAAAAGGCATGGAGAGTCCTCAAAATAATGAACATGGAAATATCATATGGTCTAGCAATATCACTGCTAGGTATTTACTCAAAGAAATGAAATCACTAATATGAAAAGATTGAGGCACCACTATGTTCATAGCAGTAGTCACAATAGACAAGACCTGGAGCCAACCTAAATTTTCAGTGACAAGAGATTATATAAAGAAATAATGAAAAATACACTCAATAAAATACTACTAAGCTATTTTTAAAAAGATGAAAAATAGTGCCTTTTGGGATAAAGTGAATGGAATTTCAGGTGGTAATATAAAGTTAAGTCAGAAAGTAAAAGACAATTACTGGATGGTCTTGCTCATTTATGGAATAGGAATAACCAAAAGATAATAAACTGGCTAAACACAATAACAATAATTCTTAGACTGTGAAAAATATATTGGCTATCAAGGGAAGAAAGGGATGTGGGGAGAGAAGCTGACAAGGCATTGGCTCTGGAGCTTTGGTGAAAATAAGTGAAATGTGCAAATATAGAGGCAAGGTATTGTATATACATAGTTATGTAAATTATTGGCAAATATATAACTTTGAGAATACAAAGAAAATGTGATTTGTATAGACAATGGAAAATTATTCCTCCCTAAAAAAATAAATCCTGCCATTTGTGACAATATGGATGAATCTGGAGGACATTATACTAACTATAAGTTAGGCAGAAAAGGAGTAGTAACTTAGGTGTGGAAATTTAGAAAGCCAAACTCATAGGATGTAATGGTTAGTACCACAGGGTGGTGGGTAGAGGAGGTTGGTTAAAAAATATAAACTTTCAGTTGTAAGGCGAATAAATTCTGAGGATTATTAGTATATCATGGAGATTATAGTTCATCATACTGTGTTGTATAATTGAATTTCACTGAGTATAGCTGTTATGCATTCTCATACACACAGATGACTGTGAAGTGATGGCTATGTTACTTAATAGTGGGAGTCCTTTCATGATGTACATATATACCAAATCATAATGTTATACTTTAAATATATTATTATTTTATTTTTCAATTAAATTTCAATGAAGCCAAAACACATTTTAAAATGATAAAAGAAAAACAATGTTTCATGAATGTTTGTAGCTCCTGTAAGCATTCACATGGCTTACCCTACCCAGAGGTACAGTTGTTAATTAAAGATGCTCCCAGTGAATTAGACCTCCCAGAAGGCACACCCTTGTATAGTTCTATCCAACACTGAATTGGGTTGATTTGGGACTTGGTTCAACAACAGAGTGTAGCAGAAAGTGAAGCTGTGCTGGTTCTTGGTTAAGTATTTAAAAGGACTGACATCTTCCATTTGAACATTTGCTTTTGGGAACCTGAAATCCTCTATAAGAAGCTCAGCTCCCCTGTTTGAGATATCAAACACACTTTCCACTTGGTGAAACCATGTGATAAGAAGAGAACCTCAAACATTTTTTGAAAATTATTTATTTATTTTCATTAACTAATTAAAATTTTCTGACAGTTTTGTAGTTCCACTACCATATCATCAGTGAACCATCGCCATATTCCCATGTGCTCTTTCCTCCTTGTTTTGACTCCCCTCACTCTCCCTCTTATGCTATAAGCCTTAATTCTATGTTAACTTTCTAGTTTTGACTTTTCCTTTTGTTTGGTTTCTCTATATTCCACATATAAGTGAGACCATCTGGTATTTATCATTTTCCTTGTGACTTATTTCAGGATGCATAATCTCTTCCAGCTTTATCCATGTTGCCACAAAGACATGAGTTTGTCTTTTTTGATCACTGAGTAATATTCCCTTGTATTAATATACCACAATTTTTTTATCCATTTGTCTGTTTTGGGGCAGTTGAGTTGTTTCCATCTTGGCTATTGTAACTAGTGCTGCAATAAACATAGTGCAGGTCTCCTTTTAAATTACTTTTTAGTGTATCCTTTGGTTAGATTCCTGGGAATGGAATTGCTGGATCATATGGTAGATTTATTTTTATTTTATTTTTATTTTTATTTATTTATTTATTTATTTATTTTTTAAAGATTTATTTATTCGTACAGAACTGGGGTACAGGCCAGAGATGCGGAGGGTGAGAGGCTTCACCAGAGACAGAGTGGGGAGCAGACAGGCAGATGATCAAAGTACACTGCTGAGGGGAGCAGCGGGCGGGTCAGGAGAGGTCTGCCGCGCCATGTGGATCTCCTCCCGGGCAGGTGGGGATCGAACTCATGTGGAAGTGGCTTAAGCTTCTTAGTGCAGTGCTTTAACCCACTGCGCCACCAGGGAGGGCCTATTTTTATTTTTTTTAAAGATTTATTTATTCATACAGAACTGGAGTACAGGCCAGAGATGCGGAGGGTGAGAGGCTTCACCAGAGACAGAGTGGGGAGCAGACAGGCAGATGATCAAAGTACACTGCTGAGGGGAGCAGCGGGCGGGTCAGGAGAGGTCTGCCACGCCATGTGGTCACCTCCGGGGCAGGTGGGGATCGAACTCATGTGGAAGTGGCTTAAGCTTCTTAGTGCAGTGCTTTAACCCACTGCGCCACCAGGGAGGGCCCGGTAGGTTTATTTTTACTGTTCTTAGAAAACTATGACAGTTTACTTTCCCATGGAAGTGTGAGAGTTTTTGTTTTTTTTTTTAATCTCCATATCCTCTCCAAAATTTGTTGTTTCTGTTTTTTTAAAATGTGGGCCCTTCTTAATGGAGTGAGGTAGATCTTATTTATATTTCTCTGGTAATTAGTGATGTTGGGCATATTTTCATATTCTTATTGGCGCTTTGTATTTCTTCATTGGAAAAGTGTCTTTTTTAGTTCTTCTGCCCATTTTTTGACTGGGTTGTTTGCTGTGTTTTTGTTGAATTGTGTAAGTTCTTTGTAGAATTTTGATATCAGTCTGTCATAACGTGAGAGATAATATATTTATTGTTGTTTTAAGCACTAAATTTGGGAATGGTTTGTTCATCAGTTACTGTCTATTCCAAGTAATTTAAAGGATGTCAGGAATCCCTCAGTCTTGCAATGTCTTAGGATCACTGGATGCCAAGTTTCTAGGGCAGGAAATGCTGAATGGAGCAGAGGTGGAGGTTGAAGACACAGAAAGAAGGGTACAGAAAATTCAACTGTTGTCAGATTGACTAGGTGACATTTCTAGCTGCATCAGAGCAATGGTTCTAGTGCTCTGTTCACAGGTAGCAGTTTTCCCTTAGGCTTTTAAATAGTATTTCATGTAAGCCAGCTAGTATGAAGCAAAGAGTGGTTTGGTTCCATTCCATGTCTATGACACCCTAACCTTGAACACTAATATATACAGTTCAAGGGAGATCAGACCTGATTCACAAATCCAAGAGAACTTCTGAAACATGCTGACTTATATCTGTTTTAATGGATGGTCAGAAAAATCACTGTCTTTTAGGTGAGACAGGGTATTTTAAGAATTAGTAGTTTCACATTATAAGATTTTTTTTTTCCTTTCCATTGCTGGGAAAAACCAATGAAAAATCTTATTTGTTTTCTTTAAGTCAGTTCTTTCAAAGAAATATAGTAGTGAAAGTTAGCCAGGTGTATAAGTGATTTAAGAAAGTAATCTTTTTTTTTTTATTAATGTGAATAGAATTTAAAGGAATGGTAAGAAGCATGATAATTCCATAAATCTTACTCTAAAGAACATTCTTCATCATTGTGGAAGTTGAGCTATTTTCTTGTTGGTTCTTAACCCTTTCCCATCTATTTTCAGGTTAATGTAGAAATAATAGTCATTGCCTCACCTGATGGTAGCAAGGAGCTACATTATAAAAGTTTCATATATAAAATTTTATTCTCCTATAGAAAATAAATGGAACAGTGGAAAATCATTAATATTTGAAATAGCTATAAAATATACTGCCCACTCTAAATGGCTTGTATATTTAAGTGCCCCTCCTATATTTTTGAATATTCAATTCTAGTAAATATCACAGCCATAGAGTTCAAGACGAAGTGCAATACTTTGATTCCATGTCTTAGGAATGATGCGTATAAACCTGGAAATAATTGGTGGATTGAAAAAGTTCTTCACATGTCCATTGATATTACTGTTTCCTTCAAAAATCTGAAAGCAAAATGAGAGAAAATCTTTAATAATGGTATAATGAGTATATAAATTTTAGATTTTTAAAGTATTTTAAATTCAAACTAAGGAGCTCAGCGAACACACCTGACATTATTATAAAGATATTCCTCAATTAATTATGAAATCACACACACCAGAAAGACACACTTTTAGGGATCTCACCTCACCAGAAATCTAAGTTGAATTAGGGAAAAATGAAGAAATCAGATGTGGTACTATGGAACAGCTCTGTGACTTTGAGCAAATTACAATCTCTGTTTTTCCATTTCATCATTGGTGAAATAGAGATAAGAAAATTTTATCTCACAGAAGTTTCTGTGAAAATTTTGAAAAGTTTAGCATAAGATGAATGCTTAGTAAGTGCCAAATAGGGAGCACTAATAAATGGTGCGTTATCACTAACATTTAAAATAAAATGCAAACATGCACTTTTTAATCCTTCTCAGCATATACCTATATCCTCCATTAGAATGCATTTTATGTCTTTTTTGTGCATCCCCAGCAACCTCACCAAGATTTACATACAGCAGAAGCTAAATCACTAGTTTTTGACAATGATAATGATCCTGATGTGAAAACATCCTCACACAATAAGAAAGAAAAGAACCCAACCAATGCACCCACATGGGACTTAAAAAGAAAGAAAAATCCAAATTCATTAACTGATATAAGTGTTGAGTCCATGGTGGACATTCAACAAAAGGAGAACCTTGTGTTGCCTCACCCTACTAACTTCAAACCAGTGCCAATAACTGGAATATTATGTTAATCGCCTTAGTTTTGCTTCTAATAGCATTTTGAAATCACATAACTAAGAATTTAAGAGTGCAATGAAATACATCATCTTGTAGAAAATTTGTCTTCTCATCAGCAAAGATACAATTGTTTTCAGTTTAGTGAGAATATGATACAGGAAGTTTTATGGTCTTAGATATTTCATCAGTCATGAATAACAGGTATAGCCAATGTACTGCTAATGTTATTTCACAGTGGGACCTGCTGTAGACTGCTTGTGTCCTCCCAAATTCATATATCAAAACCTTCAACCCCCAATAGGATGGTATTAGGAGGTAGATGTATTTGGAGGGTAATTAGGATTATATTAGATCATGAGGGTGGAATCCTCAAGATTAAAATGCTTGTAAAAAGAGGAGAAAATATATGATCTCTTTCTTTCCCTAACTCCTCCTCTCCACATACCAAGGAAGGTCAAATGAGAGCACAGTCAGGAATAGTACCTTCAGTGAGATCCTGTCCATACTGGTACCCTTATCTAGGACTTTAACTTTCAGAATTGTGACAAATAGTTCATGTTTAGTTTCACCCATTCTATGGTAATTCAGTAACTAAAGCTGACCAATACATGCCTTCAGCAGTTTGTTTGTTTGTTTGTTTATTACATCACTAAGTAAGCCTCTGGTCTTTTTTCAGTTTCACAGGGAGTAGGGAGGGGGACCATCACTGTCCCAAAACCAGGTACCTGCAGAGCTAGGATTTAGAGACTTAAAAAGTTGGGAAATGAATGCTGAGAACCATTTACAAATGCAGTGTACTATTTTCACCATGGTATAGTTTTCAAATTGCTTTCTTTTTGTCATGGCCCCACCTTGTCCACCATGGAGGATTTACGCCGGTAAGATTTCCATTCTACTCCCTGGTCACTGTACTGGATGGTGTAGCTTTTCACATACATTTCAGAGGACAGAGACTTGCAACCCTGGGTTACAATTGCAGTTATCTTCTTGATTTTGAGCAGGTCAATTTGTAACCACTGTTTGTTATTATTTGCCTATGAAGATGATAAGAATACATGGATAAGATAGATTTGTTTAGAACAAGACATTCAGAAATGCACAGAGCTCCAGAGAATTTCTTTTCTATTTCATAAGTTAAAATGTGCTATCTCCTTGTTCTTTTTGCTATTACAGCACAAATATAAACATCACGAGAGTATTTCACATATTGTATAATAATTACTTCCTCATTGGTATCCCATACTCTGAGAGCATTTAGTTTTGCTTCTAGTTACTTCTGATGATGTATGGCATACCACTGGTATTCAACAATTTCTTTTTGAACAAGTAAATGAATTCTACTTGAGAAAAACATTAAATTCTTATATTATCTGTCAATATTATTTTCTTATGTGGACTTAAATAATATGATGATACTATGAGAAAGGTTATATGTGAAATGTTGATAGATCATCTTGCTATTTATCTATTTTAGAGAAGTCCTACTTTTTTTCTTCCTTTGTTAATGTTAATAGAACGATTCCAATTTCTTCTCTTTTAATATTTTATGTAAGTGTAATATTTGAGACACCTGATAAGAACATACTTATGACTTAGTGTGGTGCAGTAGTTGTCCTGTTTATGGTCTAATAAAATGTCTAATCATTTGTCTGGTGATAATGATATGTACTCAGAGGAAGCAGGAGAGGAGAATGAATCGAGTTTTGCAATAATCAAAGATGAGTTTTCACCTTGTCATAGTTCATTCAATTCCATATGAGGTAATGAATATTTCCACTCACTAATGGATGTCTGTGTACATACCAATGTATATGCAGGTATACATGCTACCTGTATTTTAAAGCAAATTAATTTAATTAACATTAGTGTATAGATAATATTTTGCAAGTTCCTTACTGTCTAGTGAGATCTGGTAGCATTTTATTTTATTTTAGTGTATTTTAGTGTATTTAGTGTATTTTAGCCTTCAATCAAGGTAGTTCTAATGATAGAGTATGGGATTTTATAGGCATAAACATTTTTTGTGGACATGTATGCATATTAGTAGAGAAAATAGTCTGCATGAATGTCTGCATATGCCTGGCTTACATTTTCAGCTTCTCTAAAAAAACTTAGAAAGACATTTCATCTAACAGGTTCAGTAAGACAGATATCATTAGATCTGACCTAGAATTGCAGGTGAAAATGACAGCATTAAAAATTGAATTTAGAGTCTTTATTATATTATATAGACAATGAGTAAATTACATGCAGAGCAAGCTTTTAAAAAGGCTATAAAATTGGAGGATGGGGTGATAAGATTACTAACAGCTTTACGTCATTGAGAAAGATTGAACATTGAGATAAATTGAACGGCATCCTCTCTTAAACTTTTTATTTGTATTATTTTACTTATATTTCATATAAATATAACATTGTTGCTTTTATTATCTTCTTTGGGTCTCAGTTGCCATTCCCCCTATACCCCTGTATAAACGCAAAATGAGGTATTTGGGTTGCTTCAGATGATAAAAGGAATGCTGACTTGGATATGGGAAGAATGGAATTCCTGAATCTGCCAGCAGGCTAAGCTAAAATATTTCATCTCCTTTGTGCTTAGAATTTAAAGAAAAAGTCTTGCCCAGATGCTTTGTAAAGTCTCTCACTTATTTAGCATCCAATGAATCTATGCTTAGAATGACACACACACATCAGTTCCCAAAACTATCAGTATGAAATCTAAACTTCTATTTCACTCCATTAGTACCACAATTCCACCTTCCTTTCCCAGGGTTTAATGAAGGACAGGATCTACACTTCTAGAGTCCAGAAAAATGGGGGATTAGATATTATAAGGGAGAGAAATAGGAGGGTACTTGAACTTTAGCTGACAGGATGGTTCTGACTTCTGAGGCCATTTCTGATTTTGCCAGCCCGGTGAAGAGTGCTATAAAAATGAATGCACTAACAGTTACCCTTAAACTAAGTCACCTGAATTACTTACTGAGCTAATATCTGGGCAATTCAACTCTCTTGGAGACATTTGCTAAACTTAAATCACTGGTTTAGAACTTTGGATTAGCAGTTTTTCATATTCAAAGGGATATTCACCTTGGCTTGCCAGGCATTCACACGGCCCTGGGCATTAAGACGGGCAAGAGAAGGTTCCCAATAATTTCCCCACCAAGATTTTTTAAATGAGGAAGCTGTAATTTGCTTGTTTTCTATCTTTCCACTTTCCATACCAAGTGGTGTAGAGCATCCTGTCAAAAGAAAAGTAAGATGATTAATTACACCCCACCAATATTCCCCACATGTTTTACAGTGCAGAGCAGACAAGAAGTAGTATTGTATTACTGCCAAGTAATAACAAAAACAACCAGTACAACAATGAACATTTATTGTCTCAAGTGCCAAGTCCTTTTTTCAAGTTTTCCATTTATTATATAATACTCTTAATTATCTCCATTTTACAAATGAGAAAACAAAAGCAGAGCAAGAAAAAGCACTTGCCTAAAGTTGTCACTGCTAGAAAAATCAGAAATTCGATTTAAGCCTTTATAGTCTGACACAAATCTTGTAGTCTCGTCTCAATATCTAAACTTACTTTCGAGGGAGACATGGAACATTACATGTTTGCTTTGAAGTAAACAATGTACCTGTAGTATCTGGGTGTAGTATAATTCTGTTTCTTCTAGCAAAAACTACAGAGAAGACATAGTGGTTGCTTGGTAGTCAAATTTAATTTTTTCCTTTCAATCCTTTATGGGAGTCATGGTATATATCTTTTTGAAATTTTGCCAGGGCATGCATTTGAACAACATAAGCAGCAAGCTTAATTTGTGAATATAAGAAACATAGGCAGTGGGAGTACCCAGCTGTCTGTCCTCCCCCTACCATCATCATCAGTATCTCTGTGATGCTCTACTCTTGCTAGGAAACCATGATGACATTTTTTCTGAAGTAATACCTTACTTTCTCCTTAAAAGTAAGCCTTATGTAGAAGAAAACCTATTGTTAATACTAGTTATATAGATGTCAAGAAAGTGAAGAGAAAAAGAGTAATGCTTCTTGTATAGAAAATATACAAGATTTTAAATAAATTAATATAATTGAAGGTCACATTTGAGGGTAGTTTGACTCTCTGATCTTAACAAACTACCAATGATATCATATACTAGGTGGGAAAAAGCCTACTGATTTATGGAGTTGTTTCAAGGAGTAAAATTCTTGCCTATATAGAATTTGTACTTCATATAGGGAATGTTATCCACTATTGTTTTCGGATAATTGGCAAAATGTCCCTATTCATATTCCTCGTGAATATTAAGAGAGTGCCAAATACCATTACTGGCTTTGATAAGAAACTACTTCCAAATTTCAAATACTTTCTCCATCATAAAAACAAAACAAAACTATTGCTCCCCAACAGGCTGCCTCAGCAACTTTCAGATGTTGTATATTATCTGCCTCTCACCTCAGACCTTGGTTGAAACTGGTGGTTCCTGGAACAGTCAAGCTGTGGGTCAGTGGCTTTGTTCTTTTATCCCAGAATGCTAGAGTGATGTTATTCCCTAATGTGCTTTGATGTGCAAAATTTTGGAAGGTACTGCCTTAAGAATCAGAGAATTGTTGATTCTTCAACAGCCTTGTTATATGTGGTAGAAATTTATGATGGCTATTTATAATTACCTAGATTTATTTATACCACAAATAACACTAACCTTCTCCCCTCCCCCCCAACCTGGAAAAACAACTGTTTACAGAGAAGAGGCTTGGGTACTTACATAGGATATGAAACTATATAGAGCACCATCAAGGTTTCAAAAAGTTGGGATGCAGATTTAGATTTTTAAAATATTCTGTAAACAATAATCCATGACAGTAATGTTGCTTGATATTTTCAAAACATTAAAGTCTTAGTGGCCTGGAGGACTTTGAGTCAGGTCTAGTTTGAATCTCAGGGAGTTCTTACTGAAAATGGGTCAGCTGAGTTCTTTCTGAGGAGTGGCAGGGTAGTGCTCTTATCAGTAGACAAAGAGATGGTATCTACCCTCTGGCAGGTAGAACCAGTCTGATTCTAGATCACACAGAGTTTATCTGAGTGTAATCTCTGACTAAGGTTTTTCTAGAAGTTGCATTGATTCAAGAGAGCAAGTAACTACCTATCCTCCCAGAACTACCAAGTCTTGATTCATTGAGTGTCAGCAAGAAAATAGCACATCTGTTTTCCTTACCGGTAACCTCACAACCTTGCAGCTCCAGTCGAAGGGTTGGCCTGTTATAGGATCTAGTTGGCGAGATCCGAATATATCTAGCCATAAAAGGTGGATCAAACGTATTCTCTTTTACTGTAGAGGCATCGAAATTGCCTTTAAAATACTGGAAGAAAAGAGGAAATTTCAATTATATAACAATTCTCTCACAGGTGATTTTATAATTAAAATTTTATAGCATTTAATGTTGTAATACTAAGTTTTCTCGTGGCCTGAACCAAATCAATTTGAATTTAAAAAATTTGGGGGGTTCTTTCCACATCTTCAGGAAGATTGTTGTAGATTTACTGTGTCCTGTTCATGTTGGTAAGGCCAACTAAAAAGATAAGAATGACAGGTAGAAAGAATAAGGAGATTTGAGAGTGGAATTAACACTATTTCCTTCCAGTGCATGGAAATCAAGAACAAAATAAAAAGTAAAATTTAGTAAAATCGAACTCTGGGTTGCTAATTTTTAACATGAACTCCTTAAGGCTCAAAACCAGATATTTTACTCTCCTGTACCCCATCTGCCAATATGAGAGGCTTGGGTATTTAGTTGGATGATAAAATGATTTTCTCCCCAATTTTATGAAGTTTTGAAGTTTTAGAAATCAGGTTTATCCTTTTAACTTGCCACATACAGAACCATATACAATCTAAAGCCCTAGTAAAGCCATTCATATTTCTTATACATAAGGGATTTTTTTTAAACAGTCATAATCTAAGGTATACTAAGCATAGATATGAAGGTGGGTCTTAAAGTTCAGAAAGGAAAAATGCATACAGACCATCACATTCTGTGTGCTTTTCCCTTTGAAGATCTTCCAATTTGACTGGTCAGAGCTATAAGACACAGAAAACTCAGTGGTATAGTAGGACTTCAGGTAGTGTTTGGCACCTTGGGTCTGAATCCCAGTGAATAAGACTTCCCTTTGCATATCCACCTGTTTTACAACAAACAGAACTGTTTGTGTCAACAAATCATACATTGCCTTAATTCATTATACAACCAGCTTGCTTTAATACTAAAAAGCTAGCATCTAAGGTCTCAGCAAACTATTGATAGTAAAACTATTAGATGCAATCCATTTTTGCACCCTCAGTATGTGGTTACACATAACTGGCTATGTGTAACACTGGGAAGCCTTAACTTTTTTCACTGTAATGTGGTATATTACTAGAAGTAGCTTCATTGGGTTCATTTTGAATATGTAGAATAGAACAGTGCCTACCATGTAGTAATTGCTCTTTTTCTCTAACAAAATAAAAGAGCAAGAAGAAGAAATTATGATGTCATTGTCATTTTTTATGTATAATAAGAGTCAATATCATCAAGTTAATAAGTCATACCTGGATCCAAGGTGTAAAGACAAAATCTTTTGAAGATTTTTCTGCAATCCAAGCATTATATGATCCACCATTATTTAATCTTGCTAATTTGGGCTCCCAATAACCTAAACACAAAGGAAAAATAAATTATTCTGAGTTAAAAACCAAACAAACTATAGGACACAATTTCTAATGGGAGTTTAGTCCCAAGGAAAGTCAATTCCTTGGAAGATCTTTGTTGCAGTAAGGAGACTAGCAGGTGACAGCAACCTCAGCTATTAAATCAACCATGATAATAAAATCGTGGCTTTAGGTCTTTGCTTGGTCAGCTCTTGCTACCACTCACCCCCTTTCTTGCATACAGGCCTTGTTTATCTTTCCTCAGCTATGCTGATATGGTTATGACTGAGTAAGCTGCTTAACTGGAAGACCTGGGAGGGATTTAGGGAGCTTAATGATTCCTTGCAATTCCTTAATTGATTCCTTGCTTTTCTGAAGGATGTTAAGGCAGCATGAGGAAATTTATCACACAGTGGGTGATGAACAAAGTTTCTTGAATAGATAAATGGTTGACATAACAAAGGGCCCTATTAATGGGAATTGTAATACCTGACCCACAAAATCCTGACTGGAATATTACATATAGACTCAAATACAGAACAGGGATAAATGGGGAAAGTTTTGAAAACATGGACTTAAAAATAAACTATTCACTTCTTGCCCAATCCCTGCTGAAAGATTGGACTGTCTATATAGCTCTTGGTCTTCCTTTGGAAACACTTTTTGAGAACATTATACACTAGAGGGGGCGGTAGTGAAAAGAGATAACAGCAACCTTTTAGTTTCTGTCATATTGTTTCTTCATATACCAGATGAGCACCCTAAATGGAACTGCTTTGTGGTAGAGAAAAGCCTCCTTGAGAGTAACAGCCTATAGATTTAATGGCAGGGATGGTTTTTGCAAGTTCCACACTACACAATTATAGGAGGTGCCATTCATAGGTTACTACTTACTCAAATAATCAGAAGCCTTGATCTGTGAATCAGTTATGATACCCGTGCTTAGCCCCATTGGCATTTTACATTCTAAAAAAAAAAAAGCAAAACCAGAATAATGGGTTCTTTGAAAATACATATAACAAAGTAAAAGCTCCATGGCTATAGATTCTATCTTCTGTGAGTTAGTAAATAGATATTTTTACCTATCTTTTGTGGCAATGATTAGATATTTCTCATTATAAAATGGTAAATGCACTAGAAAGACTGGTATCTTAATAGAAATAGTGACACTGTAGTGGGAAACCACTGAAATTCTGAAATGCAGTTAGCTTTTAAACTAATCTCTATCCATTCATATTGTAAAACAAGTCATTTTCCAACATTAAATACTACCCTTCACAAGACTGTTCTCAAAAGTTGACCTTAAAGTTTGCAAGGCTTTTTATTTCCTCTTTATGAAAGAGAATACAAATGACTGAGATATCTAGATGTTGGCACATTGTTCAGCAGGTACTTAATAGATCCTGGCTGGTTGACTATACAAATGGAAATTGGGTTTCTCAAATGCTGAAATGATAAGTCACTATTTAGGTCAGTCATTGTTGAAATACACACATCTCTTCCCTATTCTACTCTAGAAAACTGGAGAATTTCTTCCATGTACTTTCCCATGGATCTTAAACCATGCATGAGAAAGGATATTTTATATTGGATCTATAGTTGGAAGGAATGTCTTCACCTGAACCATTTGGATTATGTTCCTAGAGGACGCAGTTCCGACTGATGCTTATAGTATAGTGGTACCATGGGTCAGGATGAAAGCAATTACTATGACAGATAATGTCTCTTTCATGCCTGAATTCTCTGGGATGAATATTTCCCATCTAAAAGTTGGGAATATTCTAGTAACAGGCACTCTCCTGCTAAAAAGACCATGTGGCTCTTAGATGATACCTTTGTCTATAATAAGAAATGGTGTTTGCATCCCTGCTTTCTGGTTTTCTCCAACCTGTGTGTCTAGAAGCCACCAGCCAGGTTTTGATGCCTTCATTTCAACAGTTTTAAATGAACCTAAAATGGAGAGTAAAGACAACATCAAATACCCAAAGATAAACAAGTTAATATGGTTGACAGCGATCATAAAAATCATAAGAACTTTCTATCACAAAAACTTCAGATTCAAGCTCAAGAGTTATCCATTTATCTCTAGGCAGGATTAGAGGTATAATAAGTAAATAAAGATAAGATAATAAGACACATGTTAATAAAAATATATCTCCTTAGAACTCTAAAACATCTCCAGCACAATTTATTTGTATATTCTGTTACACCTGATCCATACATAATAGAGTTTCCTTACCCTAAGGAACAAAACAATCTTGAATGATCTATCATAGAGCCTCAAAAATAGTGTACTTATTTACTTTCTGTCTTCATTTTTGCCAGTTTTCCCTTTTATATAGAAGAAAATTAAAATTAAACACCTCTCCCATATTTCAAATTTTCTATAAAGTTTATATATTTAGGTAGTGTTATACATAAAACATTTTTTAAAAATCACTGGGAAAAGAGATTTCTGGAACTTCTGATTATACATTTTGGTATTTAATGTTACCGATAACCAGTGAGTTTTTAAATTTGCTATAATTTGTGACTATTTCCCAGAATGTAAAAATTAATGGCTGATAGGTATAGTCCTCAAAGACACTAAAAAAAAAAAGACTTTTCCTGTCCCAATATAGACATTTAGGTTTGCAAAATTAGGGGATTAACCAATCCCAGTTTATCAGTCCTGCTCTCAGACTCAGAAGGATGCTTGATCTGATAACATTTGCAAGAAATAAGAAATAAATTGACTAATCCCATCCATCTTTGTCTTTTAATAGGATGACCTATATAGCCTTATTGGTGAGTCACTGTCTTGTTTAAAACAAAACAAGAATCCTCTGTGTCCTGTTCTTAGTCAAACCAGGCCTATTGGAACTTCTGTGTCCTTATTCAATGCTGACTCACATATCAAACTCCCCACTCAGAGTCCCATCAAGGGACTACCTTTCCAGCTTCCTAAAGTGCCTTTGTGAAGTAGGTGACTAAAATGCAGATTTCTGGGCTCCTGACCAAGATCTACTGGATCAAAGTCTGAGAGTAAAATCTCACCCTTAGTGTCTACAATTTAACCACTTTCTAGGCTTTGATTCTGCCCATTATGGTTTGAGAATCAATGGCTCCCCACTCTGTCTCTGGTGAATCCTCTCACCCCCCCTCACCTCTGGCCTATAACCCAGTTCTTGTATGCATAAATAAATAAATCTTTAAAAAATAAAATCCTGTCTAATGACTATTGACTATAGCTTGTCTAAACCTTATTACTTCACACATGACTAACTACAAATATCTTTGCTATTTTTTAGCTTGCATTGTCATTAAAAATAATAAGTTTTTTTTTCTTCTCTAAAAATCCGTATGAGTCAGTTTAATATTAAGATTCCTCGTAATCATTTGCCCAAGGATATCAGGGTGATAGAGTGTAGAATTCAAGAGTCCCAAGGTACTAGTACTTTCTCATTTTCTTCCCAACAGAAAGTATTAGCTGCTTATGGAATTCAATTTGTAAAGTGCTTATAACCCAGTCTGTGTCACACAGTGGTAGGAAGAAGCTGCATTAGACATAACACCTTTGTAAAACTAAGTTGGACCACACATTTAACCGTGTGGTGCATATATTTTCTTACTTTGTTGCACTCTGTATATAGTTTTGGGATATGGCTTTGCCCAAAATCTATATTTGACCCCTAAGGGAATAAATGCATGAGGAACAGATAATAAGAATGGCTTCTCTTGCCACATTTTTTTTTTTTTTTAAGCAGGGCCCTCTTTTCATTGCTCAGATCTTTACCAGGCAGAAGGGGCCAGACCCCTAACTGGTGCTGTTGAGTGCCATTTTCCAACAAGGTCTGGCCATGAAAGTGAACCACATGAATGTCTCTGGAGCTGCCTATGTTCAGCAGGTGCAATCTCACCCACTCTTGCTCGTACATTTGCAGGCCAGGCAAGTTGTAGATCCTTCCATTAATGGCTGAAAAGACAGAGTGTTTTGATTAGTTAAAAATCTGTGTACATCTTCTTGTAAGGAATAATGAGACAACCCATTCACTACCCACCTTTCTTATTAGACCTCATGCCCAGGTATACTACCCAGGTATAATAAGAATGTCATATGTCATCCTGTCATGGAGAGGATGAAAGAGGTACCATATCCTTGTCACACCAGAATTTAACAAAGTGGGGGTAAGCTACTTTCCAGGTACTTTGTCACTCTTTAACCCGAAACTTGATACTTCCCCTGCTCTGTGCTTTTTCATTTACCTTTATATTGATAGTATGAGTTTTCCTTTATTACCAAAAGAGAATGTTTAATATGGGCAGATAATGACTATTAATCATTAGAGGAAAAGAATAAATAAATAAGAGGACATGCAGCACATTACCCTAAGGCCTCCTAAATTCGGAGATTCACAGGTGTTCACACTGTATCAATGGCATTTTATTATCATGTTGATGACAAAAAACAAAAACAATTTTGGCCAATGTTGAATGGGATGACACTTTGATGACCTAACTTTTTTATGTATCCTTTCATGTAAAGTCTCATTTCCCAAATCTATCATGGATGTTGTAGACTTATTGTAGTCCTCATAAAGTTAGGAGGTCAGAGTTTATCTTTGTTTTATCCACTAGTCCTAGAGATTTGTGTTTATTTCCTTATTTGTATGATAATTCCTCTCTCCTCTTCCCAGTTGACTAAGGTTCTCAGGCTTTGTCCAACCCCTCCTTAAATATATACATATATATTTTAACTGATCAGAAAGCTTGTAATAGTTACCTCTCATCATTAAATCTGAAAATAAGACTTATTGGTCTTTTTTTTAACTTAATCCCTGAATCATCCTTTTAATTTTTAATAAATCCTAAGCTGTATCTTTTTTTAAAACTGTAATTCAGTTGACAATCTACAAACACAATTCCTGAAGAACTATAAAGTCAGTATACTTTTTTCACATTTCTGTCCAAACACTTTCTTGCCATTATTCTCCCATCATCTGGCTACCTACCCAGTTTCCTGTGTTCCTTTGTTCTTATATGCCCATATCATCTGGGTACTTCAAGAGCTAGAACATCCTTATTTTAGGAAGTATATATACAATCACTTTTTATAAATAAATAATTCCTTTAGAGATTAAAAAAAAACAGGTTTATTAACTGATCAAACTGCAGAATAACATTCATTGCTAAGTTATATTGCCTCCTGAGACACAATGAATTTTTCTCATGGCTTGTTTTGGTTTGCTTTGCAGTAGCCTCTGTGTGCTCAGTTTTCAGACTTTCTCTACTCTCCTTCACTTTCAATGTTACCTGCCAGATGACATGAGGTCTGTGTAATTAGATTCATTTGTATCTCCTGTCTTCTCAGAAGCATATCATGTCTAATCTTATAAAGACCAAAAGACAGCAATCACAGTCACCCAGTATGATTTAATTCAGAAATAAGATTAAAGTCAGAGGAAAATACCATGAAACTCATGGGAGTTTTTTACTTCTGAGGACGTGTGTCTCCAAGACCCCTGGGGCTTCTTTTCGTAGTACCAACTCTTCTTTTCATCAAAGACCATAAAAAGTAAGACAAATTCTCTCATGTCTACAGGCATGTAGTTTTCTTTTTGAAGTGTTCCTTTTCGGCAGATCAAAAGGGGACCTATCAAACCCGAATGGATGTCTTTTTCCTGGAAGATAGTAAGAGCAGATTGCATGTATTCACACTCTCTTAGAATTTTCTTTGCTCATCTGATAGTCACTGACTATATAGAAAAGGCATCTTCTCAGGCTGTAGATTCAAAGGTTATAGGTGAATAGTAAACCTGGATATTTGTCATCTAGGTCTATGGCATTTATAGTTCTTTCTTTAACTAATCTTTTATCTCAATATGATAGTAACAATAATTGTGATAGTAATATTGAGTCTATAAAATGTTATCTAATGAGAATTTATGCTATATTAAATATTTTGCCTATTGTACCTTATTCAATTCTGACAAAAGTCCTATATGGTAAAAATAAATTGAATTATTAAACAAATATTGCCAAGGTATTATGTAATATTATCTCATTTCTAATTTTGGAATTGAGGTGGAGAAAGATTCATGTGACTTTCTGGAAGCCATAAATGACAGAACAGGACTATATCTCTGTTCTTTCTACCATGCCTCCAATAAAGAAGACTTGACTTTACAGTCCTTTCATGAAGAAAGACCAGGAAAAAGTTAATAGTTGTTCAAGGAAGTTGCAAATAAAATTCTGTCACAGTAAAGGTTGGCTCTCTAACTGGGAACCAACGATTTAAGTTATTCATACTCTACTGAACAAATTTTTCTGTCTGTTCTCTGAAGATAAGCATGAAGAGTACCCAGTTATCATGGTTGTACACTGTGGAACACACTGTGGAACACAGTCCTTATACTTCCTCATGAATAGCAACAAAGCACTTACAAGAAATAATTCTATTCCTTGTTTGGTGAACTCAGGTTAAATAGTTAAGGGAAAAATGAAAACTTTCAGTGGATGTACCTACCGGGTTCACAGCCGAGTAGTAGGCCCAGACTCGACAGGCAGAGCCCGGATTTTCTGGCCCTGATCGCTCAGTGGCATGCCATACATATGTATAGCTGCTGTTTGGCTGGATGGCATTGTCTTCCTTAAACCACTCAGGAGAATCATCATCATATGTTTTTCCCTCTGATGATTTTTCATAGGAAAGCCCATGGGCATGAAGAGAATATGGTCTGGATGCTAAATTTTTAAAACGAACCTAGAAAAAAATGGAATGAGCTACAAATATACTCAAGCTTAACAAAAATCCAAATCTTATCAGTTCCAGTGTAACAGGGGATAGATACTAAATATATTGAATGATTATAATAGCAAAGCAATCTGTGTAGATTGTTTCATTTAATTTTTACAACCACCCTGGGAGACAGAGCCCACACTGTCCTTCCCACCCATCCCCCTGGGAGTGATCAAGAGTGTTCTTTGTTTAAAGTTTAAGTATTGATACTATCTACAAGTGAGATGATAGTGATAGGTGCTGGAGATTGAAAATGAAAGAGACTTGGTCTTGCTCATGGTAAATTTTCAACCTACTGGATGAGACATGTATTTATGACCCCTAGTTAAGAATATGAACACAAAAGGTGCTACAAACAAGTCTGAATGGGGTTAATGGAAATGCCATGGAAGAGCAACTTGGTTGATTGTTTAGGAGCGGTTGGGGGATTAAAAAAGTTTCTTAGGGAAATAGATTGGCTTTATAGAATGAACAGGAGCTCAGCAGAGGGATAAAAGAGAAAAGTACTTATAGCTCTCAGAAGAACATAAAGATGTCTGTGAAGGGGGAATAAGTGTTTGGGTAATAGTGAGGGTATGAGGGTATGGGTGTGGCAGGTATGGCAGGCATAGGAGCTCTTTGGTCTGGTGAGACATAAGTCTGCAAAAGGATGTTGGTTGAGACCAGATGGAAGAGGACTTTCAATACAACTGCCTTGGGTATCTTCATGCCCCATTACAAATCAGACCATGAGAAAAGGTCCTTCTAGTCTTTCTCTTCTGCAGCTTCTATTGAATGTAAACTCCCCTAATCAAAAAAGAAAGGACTAGTGCTTTCCATATCTTCATTTAGAACATTTAGAGTAATTAGGACCTTATATCCCTAGTCATCTCCTATGGCTATTTTGTGAAAAGTTGTAAAGAATTGGGCATAACCTTTGATTATTATAATAGCTGGCAACAGACCTAGAGGTTGATACAGAATTTTGAAAAAGAACCAGGATCTGGAAGATACTTAAGACTCAATGAATACTGGAGGGTAATTCTTTTTATTCATTCTTGGCATGGAAAACCACTTACTGTCTTAATTTGCTAATTTTCTAGAAACTTCCACATTACTACCATTAATACCAATGCTATTGCCATTACCACCATGACACTCAGTTAATTGCACCTGAAAATATTCTGGTAGTTTTAGATAGGTTAGCTATAGAGTGATTTCCGTTAGATTGTGTAGTTTTCAGAATTAAAAATAAAATATGAGATTCTTTTTCCTTAATATTGCCAAATTAATTGTCAGTCTCCCAAAAGACATGTAATTATTTGTTAATATTGGAAAATGAATAGATCACCTATAGCTCCCTTGCTGGCCTTCACTTAAACTCTAGTGCTTATGGAATTATCTCTGATAACCTTAGCCAGGCTCAAAATATGACTTACTTGGATAACATCATCCACTTCAGCTCTAATAATAGGACCAAGAATGCCAAGATGCTCTTCATATTCCCCTTGAGGATCACGTCTGGTAAAAAAGTTATCAAGGTACTGTCGAAAAACAACTTTCTTATATATGGTATCCTCTGGAATGTCATCAGCGTCTTCATTATACATTTCACTGAAATGATAGCATTTATTTAAAGGAAGAGATTAAAAGATGTATAGAATTCAGGAAATTACCTTTCTGAACATAGCATTTATCATTGATGAATAAATGAGTGAAAATATAAATGACTCGAAACATAAGTTATTAATTGCCCTTCAAGTCCCAGCTCACCTATCATTTCTTCTATTTGGCCCTTTAGTTCAAATACCGCTATATAATTTCTTACATCTCTACAGTGTGTATATATATTTACATTAAGTATGTATATATATTTACATAAATAATTTCTACAGTATTATAGTATTTCTATATAGCATATGTAATAAATTACTTAAAATTCATTTGAGAAATTATTTGTTAATACCTGATTGTCACTTGAATGACTGCTCCATGAGGTCAGGGATTGTATTTTTTTTAAAGATTTATTTATTTATGCATACCGAACTGGGGTACAGACAAGAGATGCAGGGGCAATGAGAGAAGATTCACTAGAGACAGAGTGGGGAGCAGAACAGGCAGATTGATGAAGTACATCTGCCTGAGGGGAGCAGTGGGTAAGACAGGAGAGGTCTGCAATGCCTTGTGGATCACCTCCACAAGGGATGAACTTGCACTCAAGTGGCTAATTTGCAGTGCTGTGTCCTAACCCATTGCACCACCAGGGAGGGCCGATTGTATCTATTTTGTCCATAATTTTATTTCTAGTGTCTAACAAGTTGTCTGACTTATAGGAGGAGCTTAATACATTTTGTTAAATGCATCAATGAATAAACAAGGTCTAGTGGTTTGTTAACACTGCATATTTTAATATACAAAACAGACAAGCCATGTAATGGGGCAGTGCCAGGGCTGGGGGCTTTCATATGACAGTGGTCAGCTGAATTAAAAGGTCACCTCTTTAAAGGCTTCTACATGGAAGCATGTCTTTTTATTTTTTTAATGATTTATTTATTCATACAGAACTGGGGTACAGGCCAGAGATGCGGAGGGTGAGAGGATTCACCAGAGACCGAGTGGGGAGCAGAACAGGCAGATCCAGGAAGTACACTGCTGAGGGGTGCAGCGGGCCAGTCAGGAGAGGTCTGCCGCACCATGTGGATCTCCTCAGGGGCAGACCAGGATGGAACTCATGCGAAAGTGGCTTAAGCTTCTTAGTGCTGTGCTTTAACCCGCTGTGCCACCAGGGCGGCCTGAAAGCATGTTTTATACTCTGAAAGTAATCACTTTTTTCACGTCTGCTAGCTCAATCTGGCCCCAGAACATTTCACATCTTCCCACCAACTCTTAAATTTTCCAAGTCTATGATATAGGACAAAAGCTCATCCATGAATTTCACAGTATTTGTTAAACTAAGCCATCTAGAAAGAATTCTGTTTTGCCTGGCTCCTTGCCCTTCTACTTATTAACCCTGTTCACCCAGAGTTTACACGTTACATACAGTCCCGGACAACACATGGGAATAAGCAGAACAGCTCTGCCATCAAAGTGGGTTATGTACTAAGAATGTGATACAAGACTTTGAAGGAACTGGTCTTATCCCTTTCCACTTGGACAGGTCCTAAATCTTACTCCTTTAGGACCTATGCTCAGTGAAATAAGTCAGAAGGAAAAAGAAAAATATCAAATGGTTTTACTTATAGGGGGAATATAGGAGAACCAAATAAAGGATCAGGAAAAAAATAATAAATAAAATACCAAAATTAACAGTCAACTATATCAGAGATACTATGCTGGGGGAAGGCAGGGAGAAGGATCAAAACAGGGGAGGAAAGAGCACTAGAGATTATGGCAATGGTGCAGGGGTGAATTGGTGGTGGACATTTTATGGAGGTTACACCTGAGAAGAAAAAGCAAATATTGTACAAAATAAAAAATAATGTAAAACATGAATAAATTAATTAAATAAAGACATCCTTAAATAAATTAGTGCTACATTAATAGTGAGGTATATCAAATATAAGTAGGAAGTCATGTGAGAAAGTGTTTTAAACCAACTTTTAATAAGGAAATATCAGGAAATGAATTAAAAAATAATTCTGTAAGAAATACTATGCATTATGTTTGCTTACTCTAATATCACTTTGGTTTTTTAATTTTTTAGTACATAAGCTGTAAACTATATTTTAACAGTTCAGCATGGTCACCAAACTCTGTCCCTAAATACGGTAAACCTAATCTGCCTTCTTGTTCTCCTCTCTACTTTTCATCCTAGAATATAGAGTCCAGCCCAATATGGCTTTTGACACTTAAGCAAAAATGAGCTGAAAGTTATCTTTTAAAATTATACATGAATCCTTTCAAAATTCTCCATTTTGGGCCCTCCCTGGTGGTGCAGTGGGTTGGCACTGGAAAGCTAAAC